ACAAGATAAAGAATACCATTTTGCCAAAAACTTATTGGTTGCATCACAGAACTCAAGTAGCATATGATTGCTGAAAATTTTGAAATATATCTCTTTTATTAAAAATATTACTAACTATATATAGAGCTCGCAATACTCATAATCCCAAGATTAGAATTTCAAAGTCTCTAGAACTCCAAAACCCTAGATCACTAAAAATTAGAAAACTAAATTAAACTAGAACTAGGACTCTAAATTATAACATATCCAATACTACAATTTGACCCAAAAGACGACCTACGAGTTGGATTATGACCCATTCCAGGAATTCTAGAAATTACAAAAATACCTTTGAGTATAAAAACTTTTAAAATGACATAAAATATTAATACTAGCAAATTGACTCAAGCTAACCTAAAATAAGACTCAAAATACGATAATACAAGGTTTCATTTGTATCTTTGTCTTGATGGATAGCCAATTCTATTGTTTTTCACATCTTCGAATTTGGTTTTCTTGAGCATCTTATGAATTGCATCATTCTCCTCTGGTTGGAGAAAACTCAATCTCGAGTTTTGAAGTGTTGCAGTATAGAAGTCCAGAAGTTTTGAACTTGCATGCTCCTTTTCTTTATGAACTAAGGAAAAAAAGAAAAAATTTGAAGATCGATCTTCTCAATTCGGTTGTTGAACTTTTCTGGAATCACAAAATCAATTGGTGGAGCAAAGTGAATAAAAAGAACATCTTTGAATTGACATTGCACAGTAGGACTTCTAGCGTGCCTTTCAATTGAAATCTTCCCCTTGTTCACGGTGATATCTTTTTTTGCTATAACTTTGAACTTCTCTTGATTGTTATTAGAGTATAATAGTATTGGTGGATTTTTATGCTCACCTAAATTCTTAGATGATGCAAATAATTCAAGCCCTTGAGACATTGTTGTGAAAGGAATCATATAATAAGCGTAGTCGAATTTAAAAAATAATAATTTGATTCCTCAAATCAAGGTCTATTTATGTTTAATACAAATCGAGAAACCTTAAATTTATAGTGAAGATTAAGTGTTACCTCTTGAAGCGTACTTTTATCGATCTTTAAGCATTCTTAAAAATTTTGAACCTTCAAATTTGAATTTGATCTTTACGCCAAGCCTCNTATCGATCTTTAAGCATTCTTAAAAATTTTGAACCTTCAAATTTGAATTTGATCTTTACGCCAAGCCTCGCAAATATTTGACCTTTATCGGTATCCACACAAATTGATAAACTTGAAGGAGTTACCTCAAACATTAATAAACTAGTAGAAAGAGAGAATTATGAGTGATTCTTCTTGTGTTAGCAAAATAGTTGTTTTATCCTGTNTCGCAAATATTTGACCTTTATCGGTATCCACACAAATTGATAAACTTGAAGGAGTTGCCTCAAACATTAATAAACTAGTAGAAAGAGAGAATTAGGAGTGATTCTTCTTGTGTTAGCAAAATAGTTGTTTTATCCTGTATCCACCTCATACATAACGGTATTTATAGAGCTTTAAGGACTCTAATCCTAGTTTGGGTCAAGTTACAATTATCTCATAGTTACAGATAATCTCTTTATTAACCATTAATTGTAATAAAGTCCATAATTAACTCTTAATTAGGTTTTCAACTAAATAAACTCTTAATTGATTGTCTCTCCTTTATCAGTTAGTTTCCAATCAATTCTATTATGTGTGACCTCATAGGTTCAAGCATATCTAGTTGTAGGCATTCAATACTAACTATAAGTAGCATTTTAAATTAGAATTCTTTTTAATTTAGCTGGAATTAGAACTTTTATAATTCTCCCTTTATGAAGAACAATTAATATATTTATATTAATTTTATTTTTTGTGCTTCTACTAATCATGAGTAACACCTAGTAACACATCATAATCAACCTTTAGATAGCACGATGTAGGTAAAGTATTCATTTAGTCTATAGTTAGCATGCAATTCAATCATTCTATCATACAATACCCTAATTGAATTACTTCTTTTTTTCCCCAATTGAATTACTAGGGGATGAAATTACTGTCAATCCCTAACTCAATCTTATGTGTTTGACCTTAGGCTTATGACTCTTAATGATCAGTTAGAAACTCTTTTCTAATTGTCATTCTGCCTTGGTCAAGGACTCCTTGAGTCATATCTCAGAAGTTCACATAGGACATTCTCTCTTTATTTACTAAGAGTGATAGATTACATGTTGTACACTTATAAGTCTCCATGCATGTTTAACTATGTCCAACAATACATATCAAAGTTACATGGTTAGTATATGAATATGTTGTATAGTTAAAGTATAGAAATCCATACACAAGACAACTATGGTGTCTCAAGTCTGAGAATAGTTGCATAACTATAACTTTAGAATTTAACATTGACAAGTATGTAAAATTCTAAATGAAAAATCCTACATTAGTCAATGATTCACGTTTAGTGTACTTATTCTCTAGCAAGCACTCACACACCTGCTTCAGTGTCCCTACATTGGTGACGTGGACGAGTCACCTTATATCAAATATGAATAAACATAGTGTATACTAGTCTATTCGGATTACATAGTGCCAACATAGTAATCGTATGACTAGGAACCTTTAAGAGTTAAGTACTAAGAAGTATAAGTCTCATTTTCTCAACTACTTGAGAAATTATCTTCTTAACTTATACTCTATAGATTATATCATGTATATTAAAATGAAATTTGCAGAAACATGATAAATAAACTTGCTATTGTTGTTAGTACAACTCCAAAACATCATATATATGATTGGTCTTTGAACAAATAATTAATGAACTGATTTGAGATTGTGTAGACTCATCTACATGATCTTCTCCGCCCTGACTTATTAGATTGTTTGTTGGTTTGGGCTGCTTTTGACAACCCTTATCTGACTGCACATTAGGATGCAAAGAACTTTGAGTTTTAGTCCTATTGGAAAAAGAAACCATTGATATACTTGCTTGGTGAAGGAAATTTAAGTACATCTCTGTACCAACTGCCTCTTGGAATGCTTGCTCTACGTTGTATAGTGGCTGCTCAAATAATTATGCCCTTATATTTGTCCCTAAACCAGCCTTGAATCAAGCAATATTGTTTGACAAAGGTCTTCTACGATATGATTGTTTGAAAGTCAATTTCATTATTTTTCACATCTTCGAATTTGTTTTTCGTTGAGCATCTTATGAATTTNAAGGTCTTCTACGATATGATTGTTTGAAAGTCAATTTCATTATTTTTCACATCTTCAAATTTGCTTTTCGTTGAGCATCTNTACGATATGATTGTTTGAAAGTCAATTTCATTATTTTTCACATCTTCGAATTTGTTTTTCGTTGAGCATCTTATGAATTTTATGAATTGCATCAATATGCTTGTTAAGTCTGGACTCCTAAAATATCTTTGTTATATTATATTTTGAATTAGTAGAAGACTAAAAAGAAAACGAATAGTAGGCGAAGTTGTTGGCAGTGGCACCATCAAAGGTTCAACTGAACGTTGGAAAATAGACTAACAAGAAAAGTTTTTCTTATCAGTTTATATCCTTAAGATCAAGGTCAATCTTTGGGTTGCATATTTTTTAAT